AAAAAATGTCAAAAACGCATTTTTCGCGCATTGCACCAATTCGACGCGTTTGGTCCCCGCATCGCGCCTAGGCGGCGCATTTTGGCGCCTTTTAGAATACTGGTTGATACAAATGGGATTTAATAGAAAAAAGAAGAAGGTGTTATATGATTGTCTCTTGGCTCTTATTAGTTTTACGGGTGTCATATCCTGTCTTTCCATTTTCCTACATATTTTTAGTAGTAAAATATTCATAATTAAGAGGTTTAGTTTTATCCATTTCAAATTTAAGAATTTAAGTTTAAAATTTTAAATTTCAGATATTTTTAAAATTTATTTATAAATAAATAAATTAAATATATTAAAGTTACAATTCCATATATTTTGATCACAAATTCCATATAATTGGTCACAAATCACAATTCTTATATGTCACAAATTATTTTACAGTTACAATTCAAAAATTTTATAGGTCACAATTTGTTCATCTCGGTCACAATTCAAAAAATTTATATGTCACAATTTGTTTATCGGTCACAAATCAAAAATTTTATAAGTCACAAATTATTTTACAATCACAAATCAAAAATTTTATAGGTCACAAATTATTTTACGGTCACAATTCAAAAAATTTATGAGTCACAATTTATTCATCGGTCACAAGTAAAAAATTTTTTACATCACAACTTATTCATCGGTCATAAATCACAAATATTATAAATCACAAATTGTCAAATTATCGGTCACAAATTAACAATTTGTTAGGTCACACATTATTTCTTGGTCACAATTTATATTTTTCATTGGTCATATACTGTTTATTAGTCACAAATTAATGAATTTAATGATCACAAACGATCAAATAATCTGTTACTACCACCAACACTTGTGACCATCATCTCACCATTGTCACCAACAACATGACAACCGGACCCCCGTCGCCGAAACCATCACCACCACCACCACCTCCACCTCCCGGCAACAAACTATCATCTACAAATACCGACATCACCACGACCACCACTACCACCGCACCACCACCAACCACCTCCATGTAAATCGAGTCAAATCTAACCCCTTCGTCTGCTCTGAAAATAGGTAGATTTGTGTGCACTGAATTAGCCAAAAGGTGCACTAGCCACACATAGGGGTGGGCGCGGATCGGTTCGGTTCGATTTTTTTCGGTTCCAGAAATTTTCGGGTATTTAGTAAATGGAACCGTCGGTCCCAAATATAATTTTGGAACCGTTCGGGTTCGGTTCGGTTCGGTTCTGTTCGGTTCCATACTATAATTAAATTTTTTAATATTTAAAATAATACTACATAAATACACCTGAAAGTAGATACTAATATTAGCCCCTGTTTGGAGAGCATTTTTTTTTCCCATTTCTAGAAATTTTCTTACCGTTAGACATAGGGTCAGTAGAAATATTTGACCAACTTGTGAGAGGAAGGGGCCCACTAATTTGAAAAAAATGGTC